ATATATATATATATATATATATATATATATATATATATATATATATATATATAAGGGGAGGGCTTGCTTAAGACGGTGATTCAAACCCAAGAACGTGTGATTATTTGACTCTGCTGCCTCCTTCCAATATTTCAACTTCTCAAAAGATTGGTATAGTGTGTCGATTTGGGGAACAATCAAAAGCTTCTCTTTTTTTAATTGTTCTCTTACTTTATTTGGCTTGGCATGGACAAAATTTCACGTGCAAGCTGACGGCAACCCAAGTTTTGACTTTTGTATACGTGTGGATTCGTTAGATGTATGTTTTTTTCTACGAGAAAGAAAATTGAAAAACATCTTTGCTTTTTAACATTTTTTAGTTCAGACGCACTCTTTGACTCGAGTTGTTCTTACTCAGTTATTTGTTTCGACATATTTCGATTATAGTCAAATCCAACACATGCCACGTTGTTTACCGACAGCATACTTTCGGGGTAATGTCTTAAGGCTTGATTTAAATGCAAAAGCTGGGTTGAATGAGAAGGAGCTGCATATGTGAAAGCAATCAAAACATATTTCAACGTTTGAACTTTGAACTTTGGACATGCTGTGTACAAAAGCTGCACGGCTTCCTCTGTCACTCCCCAACAGGCATTAATCAACGTAAACCGTTGGACCCATTTCGTATTTGGTAGAATCGTCGGCCGCCGCCGCCGCAGCCGGTGGTTGCCACGGTGGCCACCAAATTTCAGTTCACACAATACAGCAAAAATGTGGATTAAAATGGACGCCAGCTGATTCTTTGTGTTGGTTTGGTGTCGGAAAAGCATCGGATTGTTTCGAACTTTTCAAACTTTGTTTGGTGGGTTTGGAGAATAAAGCAAAAAAGAATATTTGTGTTATTTAATATAATTATGAAAAATGTTTTGTTTCAATTACTATAAATTTTACATTTTACATGTTTTTCACATCACTTTTCCAAGTAAGATTAAAAAAGAAAAAAGAAAATTAATGTTGGTTGCACCTTCATCCTCTTTGTCTGTCACTCCCAAAATGTGTTTAATATGAACCGATTATGGCTCCCAATCCAATCTGGGTTCCAAATGTATGTTCAAAGTCTCCACTTCACTAGATTTGGCTTTGTTTATGGTAAGAACTTTGTGGGTTTTAGTGCACTAATTTTAGGGGGTTCTCCGCCCCTCAAGCTGTCAAGTTGTGAGTTTTATTGGTCTCGGCGGGCCTGAGTTGCGCAGTCTCCACCGACATAATAATTGGACCCGTTGGGATGTCATTTTTAGTTCCTTTCCATTCCCTTCCTTATTCCTCATATTCAATTCACCCTCCTTAGAAACCCAACGTCCTCGTTGACACTTGCTCACCGCCTGATATCTATCTCTGATACCATTTGTAACATCTCAAACCTACTGTTAGTAGATATTGTTCTTTTTTGACTTTTCCTCACGATTTTAAAACTCGTCTCCTACATAACAGTTTCTACACTCTTATAAAAAAAATTATTCATTTCCAGACCCTTTCAATTGGAGAAGGGAATGAAACATTATGAAAACTTTTTTCTTGTAGACTAAACACGTTTTAAAACCTTGGACGGAAAGTCTAAAAATGACAATATCTGCTAGCAATGGTCTTGAGCTGTTACACGTTCTAATGGAATGGAGATGCTCAAATATGAATGAATCAGTATAGTTATTGAATAAGAATGTTGTGAAAGCCCAATAATTAAAGGAAATTTGTTAAGTGGAGGCCCATTCACTTAAACTCGATTAATAACATAGTTTGATAAGAAGATTAGCGAAATATTCCGTTAAACAAAGTAATCAAAATAAATTATAAAGAAAAAGAGGATATTAATTAATTAATTAATTTATTTATTTATTTTGTGTAAAATAGGAAAAAAAAAAGGTGAAATAGAGAAAGCATTGTGTGATAATGACAAAAACATCGTTTTCGGGAACGATTCTCGAAAATATTGCTTGGAATCTTTGTGGCAAAGAAACAAAAAATTAAAAATAAATAAAAACTGTAATATAGAGCAATGCTAAACTTACCTTACCCCCAACCCCCAACAACTTTTCCTTCGATTTTCTTTCCTTTTTTGTTTTTAATTTCATTTAATTTTTGTTATTTATTTATTTATTTATTAAATGACCAAACCAACAAACCAAACCCTCTTGTAGTTTTCTTGCAAAGTCAAATCCAAATAAACCGTTAAACCCATCCAATTCTTTTTACTTTATTTTTATTTTCTTTTCATTTCATCTCTTTAATTTAATTTAAATATTAATATTAAGACAACGTTGTATTTTATTAATTTAATATGAAATTTAACGGATAAATTACTATTATTAACATTGTTTTAAAAAATAAATATTAAAATTAAAATTTATAATTGACATTAAAGTTGGGTGAATTGAAATTTGGTAAACCGTCTATATAATTATGCTAAGTATTGTCTATTACCACCAAACTAATTGACCAGCTTTTTGCATATATTAGATCAAACGCGAGAACACAAAAATTCAGTTGAAAGATACTTAATGAATGGCTTTATTGAACTTTGCCCGTTAATATGACGAAGCTGAAAAGCGTGAAGGCAAGGAAAAACGCACGAAGTTTGTTCTCAATCGAGCCAAGGTGTCCATCGTCACAGTAGGATCTTATTGCCATGTATGAATGGTCATTAAGTTGCCAATAGACAGCAGATAACTTTACATCCTTTAGTGTTCAGTAGGATCTTATATGGGCATTAAGCTGTCAATAAACGACAAATAACTTTATAGATATTGTGTATAAATTGTAAGGTTATGATGGGCATAGTTGGTTGCAGGTGTATGGAAAGAGGGGCATAGAAATGGGGGGAGGCGGAAGAAGCGGTAGAGGGGATTGGGGCGTTAAGTGTCCGTGAAAACAAACAGGGAGGAAATGAAAATTGTGACACAGGGCGACGACACAGTTGGTGAATATGGAGAAAAAGGCATTGAATTCTCATCTTGTCGTCTTCGTAAACCTTCAAAAATTATGCTTTAATAGGTCTTAACCACTCTTCCCCCCCAACTATCCTTATTTCCTCATCTCCCCCAATTCCCTCTTCTCTCTCCTTTTTTCGTTTTAATCTTCAATTCCAATCCCTCCCTGTTTTTCCTTCCATTTCCATCGTTCTATAAGCTTTTCTGCTTAGATTTAAGGCTGACCCACAATGGTTTTTCCCAAATCTCTCTTCTAGTGTGTTTCAATTTCACGATTTCTTTTGATTACGGATAAGAAATCTGATTTTTCTGATTTCTGCGATATTTGGAGATGAAGCGACTTGTTCCTGATGGCGATGGGGAGCGGAAGATGGGGAAAAAACTCAGGGTGGACTCTGTGGATTGTGAAGGAGGAGGAGGAGGCGCCTCCGACAGACCTGGGTTTGTCAATTTGGATGATAATTTGCTGTTCGAGGTTTTTAAGCATGTGGATGCGACGACTCTGGCTATGGCGGCGTGTGTCAGCAAGCAATGGCACAAAACGGCGGAAGATGAGCGGCTTTGGGAGCTGATCTGTACCAGACACTGGGCCAACACCGGCTGCGGCAACCAACAACTCCGATCTGTAGTTCTAGCCCTCGGTGGCTTCCGTCGCCTCCACTCGCTCTTCATCTGGCCTCTTACCAAGCCCCAAGCCCCCTCCACATCTGCCTCAGCTTCCTCCTCATCGTCGTCGTCGCCTTGGTCTACGTTTCCGGCGATGATTGGGTCGAAGCCACCGACCCGTTGGGGGAAGGATGAGGTCCATCTCTCGCTCTCACTTCTCTCAATTCGGTACTACGAGAAGATGAATTTCAGCAACAGAGACGAATGAATGGTCTGGCCGGCCTGGAAAATTCACTCCATTTAACCATTTTCCTCGAGAATTAGGCGATGATTGAAGTTTCCCTTTCAATGTGTTTTGGATTTGATCTGGGTTTTTCTTTATCTTTTCTTATTGTTCTTCCTGGGTTAATTAGATCTGTATCAGGGTCCGGTGTGTACTTCATAAATTCCTAACTTGTGTATCTGATTATATAGTTATCATATATATATATATATATATATATATATATATATGAATGGAGAAGCAAAAGATTAAGTGGGTTTTGCGTTGAAATTGATGGCCAATAAATGGAAATGGAATGGAATAGATGAAAGAAAGAGAAGATAAGAAGGATGGAAGAAAATGCCCCATTAGCTCGCAGACAAATAGCATAAGACAAAGAGGCGAGTTGGGTTTTGGAAACTATACAATACTCAGCCTCTCACAAAAAGCCAAACGCAGACCCAGAACCAGCCACAAGGTGTGTTCATTTCTCAACCCAGAACCAGCCACAAGGTGTGTTCATTTCTCATACTTGTTTCAAAATGAATGAAAGAAAGAAAGTGCCAAATGAGTAATCTAAAAAGCTACCATTTTTAATTAAATTTATGTAAATGCCACTAATGGAAGAGTGATCCCAAAGACTGTTTTCATGATCTCAAGATTTGACAGTTCATAAAACAAAATCTCAAAAGCTGAGATTATGTTTTTTCTTTCGAATCTTAAGACAAAAAGAAAAGAAAAGGAAGAGTTAAGGAATAAGAAAAATATAAAGATATGAAGTTCTGTTTGGATAGAGAATTTGAGGAAGTGATGCACATTGGGGATTGAGTGGACATCATTGGGCTCTTGGTGTCAGGCCCATCTTAGGAAGCCCACGGATTTGGGGTTTCTCCTTTTCTGCCCGATGCCTCATCCATTAGTCATTCCCAAGACGACGGTGATGATCATGGAGCACAGAAGGTCCTCGCATTTCATAGGTTTGTCTCTTTGATCCCTTCTTGTACAGTTCATTTCGCTCTTCCTCGTTCTTTATGTGTTTTCTTGCCAAATATACTTGTGGCTTTTGGTTTGTTGGTTCTTCTTTAAAGTTTGTGTAGAGATCAATGTGAATGCAGATGAGCAAACGATTGTGCATAATTGTTGATTTTAAATCATTAGAACTTGAAAAATCTTGATGGACTTTAGATCGTCCATGAATCATTCCAGAAGCTGGTAATAAGATCACTGGTTGTTCTGATTGAGAGGGATAGGTCAGAAAGTGTTTTACAATGGTCCACAAACTTCCGGCCACTAGAGTCTTTTATCCTATGATTGTTAGCAGTAAACAACCCCCGTTTCCATCCTTAATGCTGAAGATATAATGAAGAAATATCTTGAATACAGGCTGAAGAAGGATGGAACGTTTTGTTGTTGCACCATGTTCTTCATCTTCTTTAACGTTGCTCTATGAGAACAGGGAAGACGAATTGGTTGGAGGAATAGTGAAGGGTCTGATTTGATGCTTCTATACCAAAGTGAGTATCAACAAATGGAGGGATTGGTCATCAGTGATGTCTCCCCTTCTTCCATATATGGTCCTGAGTGTCGAGGGTCATGATTGTAGATTTAAAACTGTACGGTGTCATGATTTTGACATACTCATGACAAGCCTTAAGGGGAAATTCAAACACCATTCACATTTTTTGCCGGTCTTTATAGTTTCGTCGGCCTTAACTGAGGTTCTCTATTGCCAAACAAACAAAAAACTCGTACGGAATTCAAATTTCTTCGACTACACAAGCCCCTCGTGCATGCATGTTCACTCGTTTGCGTCTTTAAGCCTCTACACTAGGCTAGGTTGTTTAGCCCGACCTTACCTTTACTCTAGACCACGGTCTCTCATGTGCAACATTGCATTTGAATCATCATCTTGGTTCCCAACATCACGGCCCATGCATTTTGATGTCATCCCATGTTTTAGGACAACTTAACCATCTTGGCTTTCTCGGACATGTCTATCTAAACCAACTATGTGTCGCTCATCTCATCAGAACAAGAGCCCTCCTATGTCCATGCCATGTCATTTACAAATTCCGTATTGAATAACCAGTGCATATACCAACTTTTCGACACATGACTAGGCCACAATGTTGGCACACTCGGGTCATCTGACACTGTCTTTGAGAGACTTGTTTTAAAGGAACTTGTGCAAGATGTTCGCCCACCCACCACACACTTAAGCCACATTACGCAAAGGTGGTATAGACCCCTCCTCCTATCGTACATTTTGAGGCATTTCTAATATTTTTGGAGTAGACATGATTCTGGCGAGCAAACATACTTAACTCCAGAACCGTTTGTTGAACTCATATCGAAAGTCTAACTTCTCAGGTTATGGCTTGAGGCCCTACCCAGGCCTCTTCGAACTTGTCTTCGACACTTGTGTCACCCCATTCTCTCCAACATTGCTTATGTCTTAGCTTAATTTGAATGCACTCTTCTTGAATGTTGGATGATGCACCGTTCCTTCGGTCGCATCACGACACTTGTTTATCTCAACTATTGCGTGGTCAGATGGACGTCATCTTGTTGGTTTACATTCGGGTCACAATCTACTATGTTCATAGCACGACTGTGACGTTGAGCACCACGATGTCATTGTTCTTATTTGCATTCATTACATGATATTTGTGGTCAATGGTGAAGTTAAAAGTAGGGTACAGCCTTTTGAACATTGTATACCGCGTTTTCATAATTGCGGTTAGGTTGCCTGAGTTGTTGTCTCAAGCCAATATCGAAGAGGAGAGTTAAATGGAACTGCAACAGAAGTTGGTTGACTTACTCGAATATCTATTCCTCTTATTCTTCTTTTGAGACATTATTTCATGAGTTTCCGTGTTGAAAATTTCAACGACACACAACCCTGTTTTTGATGTGTTTTTAAGGAACAACCAGACTCCATTTTTGTTGTCATCGTACCATGTGCCTCAGAATATGGAAACAAGCACCAACAATACCGATGACTAAAACACACTCAATTTAGCTATTGAGTTTATGCAAAACGCTGTGTCGTCTCAATCCCTATCTGATTAAATTCCAGCAGTTTTGATCGTTTTCTCAGGTCCGTTTGTTTGAATTTATCTCTAATCTTTGAGTTCGTACAGCTCCCTTTTGCTTTAAAATTTTAGTATGTACATTACAGAAACCGACATGAGAGCTCGTGTCTTCATTTGATCTCAAAACTGTTCTCCACATGTTATCAATTTGGAATTTACAGTCCCGACTTCCAAGTGGTTGCTCAACCATTAATGTTTTGTTCTGTCCTGTCCTGTTCTTTGAACCCTGTTTATTTATCCATTATTGACCACCACAATTCGCGTCTTTTCTTGGATTTTCGTCATCCTGGTACACACTGGTGTATCAAAAGATGCAAGTTCTAAAATTTCCAATAACTGAACTCGTTTTTTGTTCTTTTCGTCATTATTCTTACATCGACTCGATTTCGACGAACAGGAATTTTGCCCAAACTTTCTAAAAGATAGCCCTTTTGAACAGATGATCTAATTCTATCATATATGATATATGTATTTGAAGTTCTCTGCCTTGTTCAGCCCCCCAAATTTGGCGTTCTTCATTCTGTACACTACCAAAATTTATTGTCATCTATAAATTCAGGGGAGGGGGAAGGAGAAAAGAAGAAAATAAACACAAAAAGGAGAACTTTTTGAGTGACGCGATGACTTCTTTGTCATCTCAGGGCTGCTATTAATCGCGCTTGTTTATAACAATCCGTTTTACGACTGCGTTTCTAATGGCCTCCGTTTGCAAACACAGACCTTTTTGCTCCATCCCAGACATGTAGTCGTGTACTTCTTTCCTAATCATTTCCTGCATCACAGCCAAGAATTCTGAGCTGAAGAACTTGCTCTCAATTCTCAGCTTGTCCGAACTCTGCACTGGCTGCTGAGGTGCCTGATCGGGTTCGGATGCGAGTTTTGGTACCTCCGAGGAGTCGGATCCAGGCGGACAGAGGGTGAGAGAGGTGAGAGGATCGGTGGAGGTCTCCATCGGCGGCTGATCTGACTGAGAAATCAAAGCATCGGGCGAGAAAGATTTGCAGACCTGCGAAGAAGACATTCCAGGTAGGCTAGAATCGCTCAAGTCGGAGTCAGATGGGCTACTGTGATTGAAATAGAAAGGCGAAGCGACGGTGGTGGGAGCAGCACCCACACTGGCGGATCTCTTGGGAGGGTGGTGTTTGAAATCATCAGCAATGGAGGAGGAGCATTTGCGCTTGAGAGTAGAGTTCCAGTGATTCTTGATGGCGTTATCAGTGCGACCATTAAGAAGACGAGCAATGGCGGCCCACTTGTTGCCGAATCTGGAGTGAGCCTGGATAATGGTGTCATCTTCATAGGGAGTGAAAGGGTGATGCTCCACCTCAGGCGAAAGCTGGTTGCACCACCTGAGTCGGCAAGACTTGCCAGATCTCCCAGGGATGGACTTACTTATAAGAGACCAATTCCTGGCGCCGTAGGTGTGGACGAGGCGGCGCAACAACTCGTCCTCTTCGGGACTCCAAGGACCTTTTATCCGGTCGACGGCCTTAGTACCACCGGCGGTAGCCATAAAGGAAAGGTAGGCGGAGGCGGAGGTAGATGATGTATAAGAGAGAAGAGGGAATGCAGGAGAGAAGAGAGTATTTATAAGAGAGTGAGAGTGACTGGTTGGGGAGGAAGTGGTGACCGGTGATAGCCGTTTGTAGTTTGGAAGGGAAAGGGACACGCGTCATGCAACGGTGGCAAGAAGATACACGTATAATCTATAGCGAGGGCTTTCGGCTGCATTTCAAAACCGACTTGGAGTGAATTTATTTATGTTTAATTTTATGAGAATAAAAGAAAAGGGAGAAAGAAAGAAGAAGATCGGACGGCTATCACTGTGTCTGTGGGCCTAATCCAAACAACTAACCAACGTACCAGATAAGCAGAGGCTAAATAGTTCCTGTTTTCTTTTTGTTTTTTTGTGTATTATTTAATAAATTATGTGTGAAATGTTTTAATTATGGAAAAAAAAGGAGAAGAAAACGGAATTCAGATGGAGATGGATAATGAAGTAATGCCAGGCTGTATAGCATTTGTTTCCCGGAAAAAAAAAAAGGAAAAAGGGAAAAAAAAAAAGAATGAGTAGAATCCGGGAAGGAAGGGTGGGTGGGTGGGCTAGTGCAATCATGTCAGTCCAGGCTGTAAACCGCTGCCTTTCCCTTCCCAACATATAATAATACAAACCCAACATATAATAATACAAACCCAACATATAATACAAACCCAACCATATAATACAAACCCAACATATAATACAAACCCAATGTGTGTGTGTTATCCATGACTTCCATCTCCCTATTTACTTTTTTCTTTTTTTCCTTTTTTTACATTTCTTCAAAAAAGAAATGAAAGGATGTCCTTTTAGCGTACACAAGAGGACGGTTTTGATGTCATCCTGCTCACGTGGGTTGGCATGATTGATTATTATTTTGTTTTTAAGCGGAGACTAGGGATGGGGTCCTTCCTTTTGTTTTATTCCACTTATTGTGTGGGCTGGGCTTTAGTTTTGTCCTTGAAACTCTGTCTGAGCCCACCATGAATTATTTTTGTCAAAAAATAAAATAAGAGGCAGAGGGCAACAAAGTGAGTTGTAATTTGGAGAGGAACATGATCGTCTCAATTCAATTTATAAACCAATGCATTTCTTCACTTTCCTTCGCCTATATCCCACCCACACTCCAACTCAATATGCTCTACTTCTCCCTCCTATTTCTTCTAATGGCCGCTCACCTTCCCCTCACTTCTCAACAACCACCTCCACCGACAGCCATTTTCCTCCTCGCTGGACAAAGCAACATGGCGGGGCGCGGCGGCGTCACCAACAGCACCCTAACGCACCGTCCCACGTGGGACGGCGTTGTTCCTCCCCAGTGCTCCCCCAATCCTTCCATCCTCCGCCTCGCCTCCGATCTCACCTGGGTTGAAGCTCGCGAGCCACTCCACGCCGACATTGATTTCCTCAAGACCAACGGGATTGGGCCTGGAATGCCATTCGCCAACACCATTCTCATGGATAAACCCGCCGGTCGGACGGTCATCGGTCTTGTCCCGTGCGCGATGGGCGGGACTTCGATTCAACAGTGGCAAAAGGGGTCCAATCTGTACACCCATTTATTGACCCGAGCCGAAGCGTCGATACTCAGCGGAGGCACAATTAAAGCGCTTCTGTGGTATCAGGGTGAAAGTGATACAGTGAATGCAGAAGATTCCGAGTTGTATGGTGGGAGATTGAACAAGTTTTTCACTGACATTCGCTCCGATCTAAACATCCCATTCCTCCCAATTATTCAGGTTTTTCTTTCCCTCTGTTTCTGCTTCTTATTATAATTACTTTTACCGATTTAAAAAGGAAAAGTTTTGATAAGTGGCAAATAGTTAACGAGTCAGTAGCAAAAGTAGGACAAGATAACAAGGCCAACTAACAATAGTAGAGAGAGTTTGTTAAAACGTCAACGTTTGTGGTCGTAGGTGGGGATTGCATCAGGAGAGGGGCCGTATAAGGAAGGAGTGAGAAGGGGGCAATTAGGAATTGAGGTAATGAACGTGATGACTGTGGACGCATACGCATTGGGCTTGTCGTTTGAACCAGATGGGCTTCACTTAAATACCCCTTCTCAAGTTAAACTGGGTGGAGTCTTGGCTGATGCATACCGCCGGTTTCCACCCCACCCACTGGCTGCTAGCCCATTAAGAAGCGCTGCTTCCACGGCATCAGTTCACAGTTTCTTTATTTCCATGTTTAGGACTTTGACCTTCGTGTTGCTTCACCAAATCCTTTTGTCGTGACAGTGAAGTCCACAACATTACATGCAATTATCATTAATGATGATTCAAAGCCTCCGGTGGCTGGCTTTTTAATTGGCCACCCATTCAAAGAATATTCTTGAAAACGCCTGAGTTTTGTATCTTCCCCCTACCGTGTTCATGAATCTTACTTGGTTTTGATGAACACTTCCAAAATCTTACTTGGTTTTCATAACTATTTTCCTTCTTTAATAATTTAAGATTATTGAGAACTTGATTAGAAAATAAAGGTCGTAGTAGTCAGCGCTAAGGGCATTATTTTTATTTGCTAAGATGGATCTGCCTCAGAATCTGAATCCAGAAATTTCTGAAGAAGATTCACACAGTTACTGAAAAAACAAAGCACACTACAGAGCGTTAAAACTTCATCCCATTCTTAAATTATCTAACCAATCATATCCCAATTTATTTCCAAATCCCAACCTCCATAAACCCATCCTCCGTCGCACATCCCCTGAACATTCCGGTGGTGTTGAACCCACATACCACTTCACCATTGCTCGACACGGCAATCAATCCGGCCTTTCCTTCGTCCAGCCTCTCCTCTATCACGTAATTCACTGCCTCTTGAAGCCCTAGACCTTTGTATTCCATCACCGCCGCTACTTCTCTAGCCAATGTCCCTCTTATGATCGCCTCCCCTTCTCCAGTGCACGATACCCCGCACACCCCGCACGCGTACGTCCCTGAACCGATCAGCGGAGAGTCTCCGATGCGCCCGATCTTTTTGTTCATCAGGCCGCCGGTTGAAGTGGCGGCGGCGCACCTTCCTTGACTGTCGACCACCACGCAGCCCACAGTCTCTGGCGCGTACACGCTGATTGGGAGGCCGTTCATTTGCAACGGCGTCTCCACGCTCGTGCTACACTTCTCGTTTGGGACCCTATAATCTAACTGTTACAAATCGAAACACAAAATATTAAGTCGGTTTCGAACGGTTATTTTGAATGATATTCAGTTAAAATATTTGAATCGGAGGGGTACCCATATACTGTTGGCTTCTCTGGCTAGTTCAAGCATTCCGACGTTTTCTTCGGTGACGAAATAGTCATTGCACTCTAGTTCAACACCCTAACACAGATTCAATTCCGTCAGAAAATCCGCTTTAGAACCGGAAAAAAGGGAGAATAAAGATGGAAATCGAACCTGTTCTCTAGCGAATTTCTCAGCGCCAGAGAAAGCCAGATAGGAATGAGGGGATTTGTCCATGACAAGACGGGCGAGGGAGATCGGGTTTTTGACAGTGGTAAGTCCAGACACCGCCCCGCATCGCCGTTTTGGTCCGTCCATGATGCTGGCTTCCATTTCAACGGTTCCCTCCTCTGTCAGGGCAGATCCACGCCCCGAGTTGAACAGGGGATCGGTTTCAAGTTCTCTAACCTTCAGAATCGCAATATAATTTAAGAATATTTCGCAGAGAATGAAATGATGTTTTAGAGAAAGAAAAGAAACCGAAAAGGGATCGGAGAGAGCATACGACGAGTTCAACGACATCAATGGCAGAACAATTTGAACGAAGAGCGTGAATGCCAAGATCAAGGCAGCGAGTGAGAAGCATTTTTGCATCTTCTTGACGTTGCAGTGGGAGATTAGGATCCACGCCAGCCCCGCCGTGAACCGCTATGGCCCAACCTCCCATCGCTCTCTCTCTTCTTCTTCACTCTGTTTTCTAATGCCAATTGGAAACGAAGGAGGAGGCGCCTTAAATAGCCTTTTCCGGAACCCAAATAACTCACAAGCAGTTCTAAATCTTTCTTACTTCCAACAAATTTAAATAAATTTTGGATTCCGAGTGGTGCGCTGTTGGATCCTACAAATACGAATGCTTCCACCAATGCCGGGTCACAATTCACTATCCCAAATTATATTTTAATTTTATTTCACCTTCCTTTACCAATTCTTCATTTTTTTTCTTTTATATAATTTTATCCTAAACCTAATTTTCTTTTCACCAAAAGAAAACGCCCACTTAATTAATTTAATTTCACTCTTCGTAATTAATTAATATTACTAAATTATATATATATATACACACGTTTGTATGTAAACATATAGATGGCATGTAATATTTCAGCCCGAGTTTGATATTGTCTGTTTAGACTCACAATTTTAAAATGTGTGTCTATTACGGAAATGTTTTCAAAGAATTAAGAATATTTCTTTATCTCTCTCGATAATATTAGGAAATAATGAAAAAATGGTGAAAACGTAATTTTCTATTTTTTTCAATAATGAGTATAAATAGTATAGGTAAATGTTTTATTTGAGTGGATTGGGTCCATTAATATGAATTTAATAGGTGCCATAATTATTAGATTTTTTTGTTTTAAATACTTTAGAATAGACATAAATATAGTTTAATTAGCATAAATATTGTAGTTTCAAGTTTAAAATATTTTCTTCTAAATTAAATATTTTTTAAAAACCAAAATTGGAATTTGTAATGAAGAATAAAAAAGAGGAGGCAAAATATGTAGGGGAAATGGAGTGGGTCCCACGCCTTCCAGGGATACGGGAAGATTCGGAAGTTTGAAGGGTGCGTCGGGTGACGTGGCACCACATGATAACAACGCTTTTTCAATGCATTTGATTTTGATCGCTGAATAAGAGATGACTCAGTTCAAATCAAATAAAACAACCCTTTTTTTTATTCTAAATTAATTATAATATAAATCTTATTCCTCAAAGTTTGAAACGTTTTAATATACAAGCGCATCCACGTTTGGATCGTCATCCCTTTTATTTTAATATTTTCAGAAATGGTTATTTCTTTATTATTTTTATGTTTTTTTTTAATGCTCGTTAAATCTAGATATCTCTAATATCTATTAAATACATGCGTGAAGAACGCTTGTTGTCAAATAATTTAAAAAAAAAAAAAAAAGTAGCCAACAAATTTGTAAATAATATGAATCTAAAACCTCAGCGATAAGACAAGAGACTCGAAGATGAGAAGGAAGGATTAAGAGATAAAGATATAATTGAGACTTTTTCACGTTTGGATTGGGGTTGGTATTTAATATAAGTTATTGAATATTCAATAATGGATTACTAAACAATATATTGTGAATATTTTAATGAATCACAAGAAATAAGGTGGCAACAGTTTGTGTACGATTGGTTAATTTTATAAGTCGCTAATTTTTAAAAAATTGATCTTATTTTGTTTTGTTGTAGAAAGCGAAGGCAAGTTGCGAGATGGTTACCGCCACGGCGTTTTTGGCTGTCATCCATTTGAGACAAAGCAAAGCGCCACGACAGAAAAGTGTGCAAATTGGCTACTTGCTTATGAACACAACATTGTTGTAAAGGCCGTTGAAAATTGCAAGTGGGTGTCCGCCCATCTCACGCGTCTCGGCCCATTACTCTGTTGTTAGGGCCATCGGTTGAGCCCTTAATCTGAGCCCAAAACAACAGTGCAGTCCAAACAGAGCAGCACCATCGCGATCCAGCAGGCGCGCACTGATTGTCCAAACCCCCGATCCTCCTTTGGGTTCTTGCACTTGGCAATGTGAATGTCAGGGAGCGAATGTCGAAGAAGAGAAACCCGTGAGTCAAAATACGACAAACCCACTTTTCACCGGGGGACTGGGAAGCAGAAGCAGTGAAAACAGAGCGGGGTGCCAAATGAGGCCCTTGCGCTGTCGTCTTCTTCTGGTAGTGGTGTGAGTAAAAGACCTGGGGGTTGAGCTGGGTTGTAGAATTATGAGACTCACGCGAGGGATGTGGGTCTGGGGCGGGGCCTACGCCATATGATTGTCAGGGAGATGGCAGCCAAAGAAGCTTCAATTTCCATTCTTTATGAGATGATAGCAGAGAGTAAAGAGGGGTTTGTTTTACGAAAAAGGGAATGCCTTTTTTTTCATATCTGTGTTATGCGTGCCGCCAACCATTTCAGAATTCAGCAACAACTTACCTTTTGCTTTTGTAGAGTCATCTGCTGCGTTCACAGCAGCGCAGGAGTGAATGTCAGCTGTTTTCTTCTCATAATCATACCGTTTTCTTCATCCAATACATACGCTGCCAAGAATTCAATTATGTGCATCTTTTCTTTCTTTCACTACTTGCTAATCTAAATCATATCATAATTGCACTTGATTAGTGTTGTACTTGTTAATTACATACCATATAATGACAAATAATGAGGCCCGAGTTAGGGTCAAGGTCTACTCATTTGTTGGGTGGTAGTGATCTAAAACTCTTGAGATCCCAATTAGTTAGAGATTGATATTGACAGAAAATATCTACTAGTGGGTGAAGACAATATCTACTTGTGGGTGGAGTTGAGTCGTTACAAATGGTATCAGAGTCAGACACTAACTGAGTAGAAGTTGAGTCGTTACAAATGGTATCAGAGTCGGACACTAAATGGTGGGTCAGTTAGAAATTGACACTGACAGACAATATCTTCTAGTGGATGAAAACAATATCTACTAGTGTGTGGAGTTGGTTCGTTACAAATGGTATCAGAGTCAGACTCTAAATGATGTGCCAGGATGTTAGCCCCCGAAGGGGTTGGATAGAGGGAAAGAATGAAACATTCTTAATACGGGCATGAAAATCTCTCCCTAACATAACCATTTTAAAATCGTAAGGCCGATGACGATACATAACTGATCAAAGCAAACTAGTGTGTTACAAAAATACAGACTTTCAATGTATTTTTGATGCCAATGAAAAGATAATTAATATCTCCATCCAAAGATAGCATTCTACTTGATGAATTCCTCAAACATCACATTTTCTTTGATATAACGGGTAAGAACATGAAAATTAATGCGACAATTTGAATTGAACTACAAGAAATTATATATTAATTATTAAGCGTACGCTTTTGTTGTACTAGAGAAACAAAAAAGTACAAGTAGATATAAGAAGCCTTAATTAAATGAAGCGAAGGATGAAACAATGTAAAGAAAATTCTGCAGTTGTCGTAAATTTGAGCCTCTACGGACGCTGTTCATCAAATTTTTCTCTTCTTGGTTGCTGTCTCCGGCGAGGACACAGCACAGTCGACATTCCGATTCCGACCATCCATTAAACTGAATCTTCGTTTATTCTTACAGTCCTTTCTGTGTCGTTCTTTCGATGATGCTTCTGAGATGAATCTTGAACAGTCTTCTACCTTATCCTACTCGAACAAACAGAGCAAGACAAAAAGTACAGTATAAGTTTTGGTCAATCCATTGCTTGAAGGATAATAAGAACGAAAAAGAAACGATGAAAGAGGAAACCTTGTCGATTTGAAGAATACCCAGAAGCTGATCGTGGCATTTGGCGGCGGCATTTGGTTCTATGTTGTTGATAACTTGAAAAATAATGGCGCTTGCTATGACTGATGGAAGAAAACATACAAATCTAGAATCTGGGAATTCAAAATGAAAGAGCATTAATGATTTGGGGCTGGAAATTCAAGATAGAAGTCAATTTTGGTGTGGCTGGCTAGCTCACCTAAGATGACAGAGAGAAGTAATCGTTCACATCTACAGAGGAATTCAGAACAGAGCTTGTCCCTGAACCCGAGCCGTCTTACGATATAATCCAGAAAGGAAAGTGGGTTCACTGGATTCATTCTCCAAACAAGCGTAGAGAGAACAAGAATCTCCATTTTTTTAATGGTTTTAGCTTCAAAGTAGTACTCATTTTCCTCCACCTTGAACAAAACATTAAGCAATCCCCTGTTTTAGTTGGAAGAATGGTGATAAATGTGGAGATTTTGATGAGGGGTTTACCTGGAGGTCTAAAAGAAGGGGCACGCGGGTTTCCTCCACTTTAGCAGCGAGAGATAAACAAGCAATGGCGGTGAGATGGGCCATCCATGGCTTGTCAATCTGAAAATGGGGGCTGGAGAGAAACCTATCGACATAATCAACGGCCAAAACGGCGGTGAGTGCAGTGAAAGAGTAATGGGCATTGACCTTCAGAATCCAGGCCACAGCCTTGGAGCGAGCGGCTGCTAAAGAGGGATTGTGCGAGAGAGTGTTATGAAGAAACTCATTTTTGTTCTCCTTAGAGAACAGAGACACCAATTCCTCGTCTTCCCTCTCCGACAAGAAGACAGAATTTGGGGAATTGACACAAACATTTATTAAGAAAGTTTGGTCCTTTGGTTGGATAAGGCCATCCCCATTCTCTTCCTCCAAGCAAAACGGGGAATCAAGAAGAAATGAAGCGTCTTGGTGACCTGAACTTGATGAATGTAGAATGGATATTGGGTAACAATGCCGTCTCGCCATCGTGTAGTGCCTCATTTCTTCGCATGTTTTGTTGGGGTGAGGTTTATGCTTCTGATTTGGGAGCCTCTGGTGCTTATAATCAGCAGACATAAATCATGGGCCATGCAGCATAATCAATCGACATGTGACACTCCTATACAATGTCCTGGTGGGCCAAGCCAAGCCGGTCCACAACCACTGCGTTGCATATCATCAATCCTTATTCAACGCTGAATTAATGTTCATCAGAGGAAAAAAGGTTTCATTAAGCACATAAGTTTCCGAGGGAGGGTTGATTTATCAACGCAGAAAAGGAGTTAAGATCACGGGTCCTTCGTTTTTTACCCTCTCTTGTGCTTGAGAGTACAAAAATGGTTAAATTTTGAATGGACTGCTTTAAAAACCCGACAGGCTTCTCTTTGCAGAATTTATAGCATACAACTCGGGCTCCACTGTCCATACCCATTAATCAAACTTGATTCTAAAAGCTAATCGCCTTTGTTAAGATTTTGAACTCTCTGAGGCTCTGAGCAATATCAGTAGAGGGCCATTTCCTTTTTCGCTCAAGATGCTGTAGCTGTGTATTAGAGTATCCCATTAGAGATAGTCCCACCAAAACCAGAAAGGAAGGGATAGTCCCACCAAAACGACTTGAAATCAGAAGTCAGACACCCAATTCAGAAACCCCAGCAGGGAATTTTGCCGGCTGCTCTAACTATGTAACCGGTCAAGCCTACGGTCCGTAGACATTATCTTTTTTGAATTTTTACTTCCAAGCTTCTCTTCAAAGTTTTAAAACATGTCTGCTAAGGAATGCTTCGTTTCACTATTCAACCGACGTGAGATCTCATCATTCACAGTTCACATCCCCACACCACAAAAAGAGTAAGAGAGACAAATTGGGTTTCATCAGAGTAGTTAAGGCTATAAAGATTAGGTATTTCGAAAAGGGTTGATGAAGAAAAAGTGTGGTAATTTTAGATCTGGGCTGAAATTTTGAAGTGCCGTACTGTTAATCTGATTGGACCTGTCTAAATAATTGGAGACATTTGCGAGGGACAGGGTTGGCGTTTTGGCAAAGAGTAAAACATGGGTTTTCATTATAAATCACGAGCCTTCTCTAACACTAAGCTGTGCTTCAAATCATACGACCACGATGACACTGATGACGGTGCTGCAACTGTGGAGGATCCCACGTGGATGCTGCTTCTTTCCAGTTGGCTTTGTGTGGGGTCGGGTCAAATGATGAATAGGACACCACTAATCATCATGTTTGCACTACCTAATCCATGGCGGATTGCCTAATACAAGACAATTAAATTTTGATTTTTTTTTTCAACAATGCGTGTTGCATATGGACGACATTTGTGATTCTAATGACACCAACGTTGGACTAAAACAAAAAGGGACCTGAGAACATGGAAATGTAAAAAGGGATCCTATCAACTCGTTTAGTCTTACTTCACCGTTGAGAAACTAAAGAAGCCTTGCATCTCTAAGTTTAACTTAGACATAGCTCTCTTCTTTTTTGGTGTGAAGTAATGTCAAACCAAAATACTCAACAATGGATCGAAAATGAGGTGATCCAACTGAACCTTCCAATACGACTAACTTGTTATGACTTCACTTTAGTTACTAATCCTGCCTTTCTTCTCCTTGGAGTTAAGGTAACAACTTCAAGTATGGCTAGCTCCCACAGTGTGACGATCGACATATAGTGATCTTTCCAGGAACGATACGGTTTTGATACAGAGTGCAGCACATGCAGGTCCACACCACTGCAGCACTGGCTTTACGAGCGTTTTAGCCTTTTGAAGAGTTCAGTGAATCCATTAGGCCGCTCGACTCTTTTGACTTGACCTGTGACAAGGACCTACCCTGCTTTCCTCAGATCCAAACCCAATCACTAACATAACATGACACCATGACGCTAAATCATACTCTTCAACCCCTTTTCATTTGAACTTTCTTCATTGGCTAACCCCACGAGACCGCTTTATGCCTTCCAACTTCCCACCGCCAACATCATCCGCCAAATGTTTACAAATGTATCTCTTTTACCCATCACAGTTCCTGCCAGTACTGCTGCAATCATCAATTCTTCAACCTGTTCATGTTATAATCATGAACCTTATAACATGCGCAAGATATGGATCTAGCACGTGGAAGGAAGTGTAGAGAATAGATCATCAATCAAACCCAGTTTAAACTTTTCAATCCTATACGACTTTTCAAACATTATCAATAATCTCGTTCTACATGTCCTGGTCATCTGATTATACAGTAATCTTAACCACAAACTAAACAGAGCAGCTGCAAGTCAACAAAGAGAGGGTTCACTCCTATGATTCTCGATTGTTATCATTTTCAAAATTGTGCAGAGCGTCCAAGATATGATAGCTACTGCATTGACAATCTGTACATCTTGCCTTCACGTAGGCCACTGACTCATCAAGAATACATTTAATCATTCATATGCAACTCTTAACCAGAACAAATATCCACAGGCTAACATCAAGGCTAGCATAAATTCGTCAACTACCACGTTTGAAATGTTCCCGAATAAACCGCTCTGCATATAATGGGTATTTATTTCGGATATATGCCCGAAGACACTTTTGATACGAGAAGTCAATCCATCCACCATCGGTCCTTATGACAAAGAGGCATCTGGAGTGCCGAAATTGGGGGTGCCGATCGACCTTCAACCACATAAAATAGCATAAATAATTTATACAAGTTAGCTTTGTTGATATCAAAAGTGTGCTAGGAATCCCTTTTCTATTCACAAAATTCACAAAGAAATATGACAAACAACTCGTCTCCCAATGATTAGTTCGAGAGGGCCATCAATCTCTCTCCACATTCCTTAAAAAAAGCACACAAAATACAGGTTGATTCCCAGTCCTTGCAAACTTCAAGCACGTTTCAAATCTACCCCTTATTGGGAAGGAGTTGGGTGACAATTGGAGGCCATTATATGACCACACGGGCAGAAACTTAAGGAGGCGTGCTACAAATGTTATAGGTAAGAGGTGGTATTTTGAGATTTTGAGAATATCATATACCAAACGTTATTTGTTCCTTTACCTGCTTTTTACTTCTATACGGCCTAACAAACAAAAGCAAGCGACTGCATATTTGAAACATAGTAAGAAGTATAAACCATTTAGTCCAGATCAAAGCGTACCATAATGGATTCAAGTCCACATCCAATTTTATCTTCAGCATGTGGATGATGAGCTAGAAGCCTGTCAACCACAATTTTCTCATCCTCAAATGTCAATCGCTCCCCATCGACATACCTAGTATACAAAATAGAGGTTCTTAAGAGAAGGCTACATAATATCTTAGGAGAAAAATGTGATAGTAAAACGAAAACATGAGCAATATATCATATGGAGAAGTGCCTAATGAGACCAGCTCATGAACATGCCAACCTTGCAAGAGGTATGCTCCCCTTAAGGTATATATTACACTCAAAGGCAGTTCTTTGCAGAAGAAGCAGAAAATCAAATCCCAAATCCATGAAGAAAATTAAGAAAGGGCACATACAACATACTGACATTAAACCCAATTCCATTATTGATTTTTTTTTTACTACTATAATGTCTTTGAAAGCTTACCCGTAGTTGCTGAGGAAGCCTCTACAATATGATTGCCAGTTTAACGCCATTAGAAGTGTGAAAGAGATTGTAAAACCCTTTTACCTTTGTATCCATGTCTAGTTTTAGGTCTACATCCGACGGTTATTAAGAGGCCGCTAGATTGTGCCGACCTCATTAAATAATTTGAAAGTGGTTATCATATTTTTATGAATACACAAATTATGAAACTCAATAAACTCAATAGTACTTGACATGTACTCCCTAAGTTTACGTACTCACAATTCACAATTGTAATACTAACAAAAAAAGGAAAAAAAAACTATATAACATATCACATTGAGTAAAACTGGGAATAAGGAAATTCTAACAACTGTGATCATTTATTAAAAAGTTAAAGCAAACATATAAGGCCCATAACATAAAGTATAAACTTTCGGGGTTAAATTACGCGAACAGGACAAACCTATTGGAGTGGAGGATCTCCTTTGTGAGGGATATGATAGGGTCGATATCGCTGAGAATTTCCTCTTCCTGATTCTTCCACTTTCTATAACCAGGCTCATTCCACCTTTGGTACTTCGGTGGGTCAGTGGCACTCAGTACAGATGTAGTATTTTCAGCAGATGATAAGCCGCCGCCCGGTGGAGTAGACGCCGGCACCGCAGTGCAGCAAGACCGGCGAGTCACCTGCACGATCCCAGCACATAGCCCGCGGTTCCTGAGCCCTAACCGAATGAGAGGATGCCCCCTGAGCAGCAAAGAAGCAACCATGATGATCAAATGTTCATAGGGAGCGCAGCTCTGCGGTGAGCATGAAGCAAGTAGACGTAGCTGCCTTCATCTTTGGCGATGATGATGATGCTAATACAGCACTGTTTCACGGATAGGCTACTGGGCTGGTTTTATTGGGCCCTGTGGTCCATTGCCGCGATTTTGGACAGGCCCAACATTGAAGGCCCATTTACGCATAATTACAACGAATTGAAATTGGCATACAAAATTTTGTTAAATTGGAAGGGGTATTAATCCAAAATAAGAAAATAATTTAAAATAATAAAATATAATTTAGTAAATTTTGTTATCTTGATTATATGGTTAAGAAATTTGTAAATTTAGAATTTATGATGAAACGAAAATTAATTTAGAAAGTTATTAGTTTCCAACTCAATTTATGTCTTTTCAACGTGGATCTTTTTCTTTTTTAGAAAATAAAAAGAAATAATTTATATAATTATTGTTTGAAAAAATGGAATAAATGGAAGAAAAAAAGAAAAGGAAAAAGGAAAAGAAAAAGAAAAAGAAGGAAGAAGGGCACAATAATAATTCATCTTTATTTAAAAAAGAAAGTGGAGGGAAGAGAAGGGATCCGAGTCCATGAAGACCACGTGGGGTCGCCCGCTCCTGATTTTATCCCACAGCGAAGGTGACTAATCTATTCAATAAATAATAATAATATAATAAAAGAGTTGTAAAAGAAAATAAAATAAAAGAGACTTTTAGAAAAGCCCAATTGGAATTTGTTTTCAGGTCCGTCGTCTTGTTTCTTTCTCGCTCTGCGCGGAACGGAAATCAACGGAGCAACAACGTTCGAAATCGAGACCCTCAACCTACGTCCGTCTCCGGACTCCGACCTCCGGGCTGCGTTTGATTCATAACAATCCAAGGGTTCAAACCGAGATTTTTTTACGTCTCGCCCTGAATGGGCCAATCAGCTTCGTCGGCTGCGATTCTTAGCCGCCGCGACAGCAATTATAGCCATCGTTCTAAGATCAAATCAACGGCTCTGATCTCCCCGATGCACCTGGATGAAACCGATGACTTTCGGGAAATCATTCTTGGAGCCTCCGATTTCATTTCTGATCTTCCGGATGAGTGCTTCGCTTGTATTTTCCAATCCCTGAGCCCCGTCGACCGTAAGAACTGCTCTCTCGTATGTCGCCGCTGGCTCAAAGTGGAGGGACAGAGCCGTCATCGTCTCTCCATTAAAGCTGAAGCGGATCTTTCCTCCATCATACCTTCCCTCTTTACTCGATTCGATGCTGTTACTAAACTTGCTTTGAAGTGTGACCGTAGATCTACCAGCATCGGAGATGACGCTCTTATTCTCATCTCCTTTCGATGCCGTAATTTGACTCGTCTCAAGCTCCGTGCGTGCCGTGAACTGACCGATGTTGGCATGGCTGCTTTTGCCAAGAACTGCAAGGGTTTGAAAAAACTTTCCTGTGGATCTTGCACATTTGGAGCCAAAGGAATGAACGCCGTTCTTGATAATTGTTCCGCCCTCGAAGAATTATCGGTGAAGAGACTTCGTGGTATCACTGATTCGACTGCTGAGCCGATTGGGCCTGGCGTAGCTGGGTCATCTCTCAAAACCATTTGCCTAAAAGATCTTTACAATGCACAGTGTTTTGGACCGCTTGTAATCGGTGCAAAAAATATGAGAACTTTGAAGCTCTTCCGATGTTCTGGGGATTGGGATACGTTGCTCAGATATGTAGCAGAGCGAGTGACTGGTCTTGTTGAAGTCCATCTAGAAAGACTTCAGGTAAGTGATGCAGGCCTTTCAGCAATCTCGAATTGCTTGGATCTGGAAATTCTGCACCTCGTTAAGACCCCGGAGTGTACCAACCTGGGCATTGTGGCGTTAGCAGAACGATGTAAGCGCTTGAGGAAGCTACACATTGATGGATGGAAGGCGAATAGGATTGGAGACGAGGGTTTAATAGCGGTTGCCAGAAATTGCTCTAACCTTCAAGAATTGGTTCTCATTGGGGTGAATCCCACAAAGGTAAGCCTGGAAATATTGGCCTCGAATTGCCGAAATTTAGAGCGATTGGCACTGTGCGGAAGCGATACTGTTGGTGATAACGAAATCTCATGCATTGCCGCAAAATGCATAGCACTGAAAAAGCTCTGCATTAAGAGTTGTCCTGTTTCGGATCAAGGTATGGAAGCGCTTGCTGAAGGGTGCCCAAATTTAGTGAAAGTCAAGGTTAAGAAATGTCGGGGAGTAACTCCCGAGGGTGCAGATTCGTTGAGGTTGAGTAGGGGATCGCTTGCTGTGAACTTAGACAGTGGTGAACCTGAACATCCAGATGCAAGTGCAAGTGATGGCGGGATACAGGATAATGTTGTTGATTTTCATCCGATTCCAAGTCAAGTTGCGCCGCCTATGATTGCATCCAGTAGTGCTGGGCGATCTTCGTCTCTTAAGTCAAGGTTAGGCCTTTTGGCGGGGAGGGGTTTAGTTGCTTGTACACTGAGAAGGTGGTCGGGTGGTAATAGTAGTACTCGAATTAATACTTAAGACATCAGGAACGAAGCAAGTTTCAAAGCGTAAACGCTTCTCGTCTTGTTCTTTTGCATTGTTTTGTGTTTGTATTGCCTTGATTCCGTGTTTAGTGTATTTAATTTCATGCTGTGTGCTCTCTTATTGCTCTTCTTGGAATTATATATTCACGCTCCCCGCTTTCTTCTCATAATTTGGAACCTTTGGGACTGATAGATGTTTAGGACATGATAGATATACTAATTTAACGTCCACTACTTAACAAGCGTTTAAACTCATCTGTAGTAATTGGTAGTAGACACTCTTGTGCTTTGTATCTGTCTCTGAATCCTTGCAGGCACATCCTAGAAGCTGCAGATTATTTTGAAAAGTTTGTAATGCTATATTGCTCCTAGAAAACTTAGTTCTGTTTATATTCCTTAACATCTTCAAATGTTATAACATGCCTGTAGTAGGAGTATCTTCCTTCGATGACCATTTTACAATGAACATCATCTTCATTTCTTCGACTGACTATGTTCCATAACATGACATGGTCATATGCACGGTATTCATTATCTTTCCCATCAGGCTTCCTTAACCATGTCCAGTTATTCTCATGTGGTCGTGAAGATCTTTGATGTGCTTGTATCAGTATACTAGATACATTTTCCTACTAGTGTGATATGATCACTCCACTGGATGTTTTAGTTGGTATCGGGAAGAACTACCAGCTTTATCATCCTCTACGAACAGATCAATTGGCTCTTGACCGATCCACAAGTGGAGGCTCGTATAGTATTTTTACAAAGGAATGTAGGGAGTTGGTTTTAATAATTTTGGTTTAGTTGTTTTAGTTTTCTAATACTTGCTTTGTTGTTAGATCTTCTATAATCGAGGGTTAATCTTTGTATTGAATAATTCCTGATCATATTAAACTCCCTTCATTTGAGTTTTAAGCTACATCACGAAGGCCGGCAACATGTTGATGGCCTGCTTCATAATCGGTCATTTATTATGGCGAGACAAAAGAAATTGCCTTCCAAATGTTTGATCCATGTATTGATCTCCATGTGATTCTGATCATCATTAGCCCTTGTGAAAATTAACCCTGAAGTTTTTTGACGAGACTCCATGTGAAGGAGACAAAGGTAGCTTACAGCTTGCTTTGCTTTGCTTTGCTGTATGTTCCATAGAGATTTGTTATCGTTTGCCGTGGAAGTGTGATAGGGAAGGGACCTCTTTGTTCACAGGAAGACCGAGGGTTCCTCAAGTCTGCTGGTGAAGGTATCGTTGACTTGATGCATGTATTTACTTTCTCTTTAAATTTTTTTCTGGATATATTATGAACTTTGAAGTTGTACTAAATGGAAGTTACCATATGAGATAAATGGAGCTGTACCCAGTACATCGGAATCTGCAACGTAATACTTTGTGAGAAGTTAACATATCATCCTGATTTTGTTGTTGTTTCCCTCGTTGTTAATTGCATTGCTGATACACAATATCTGTTCGTTTTGTCATTAACACCGCATTAAAGATGCCCTTACCTCCCGCATTTATGGGAGTATTTTAATGCATTTGACCAGTACGGAGTTGCAGTATTCTGACCTCCCAAGTTTCTTTTAGCTGTGGTCAAACATTGCAGCTCCGTTTGCTTGTTTATCTAAACATATTTAAATAAGAGAGTCGGGGAGGGGCCGTCAAGCCCATAAATATTTGATTGAATTGAAAGTGGAAACCGGTGCTTGGTCCCCCCCAGAAGGAGCAAGTTCATATGAGGTGGTTGGATTGGATCTCACATCATAGGTGTGCAGTAATTCTGGGAGAGCTGAATCTGATTGTTGTATTCATCTTTTTCACCCTACAAAGTTGTTGCAGTTTCAAGAAATAGCCGAGCTCCTTAGGACTCTTTTGTGCATGGTCTTCTGAAACCATGATTCCGTTTGCATCCCAAATAAACAGTAGAATTGACTTTTGTCCTTGTATAAATATTTTGTTGTGTGAAGTCTGTTTGTTTGCCAGTTTACATTGTCCGTGTAACAATTAACACTACAATGTCTATATAACAACTAACATTTGTGCCAGCTGCATAGATATGTATCATGTGCAAGGGGGAAAGTGTAGGCATGACACGACAGGAAAGAAGTGAAGATTGACACCATATATTAGGTACCCTTATCATCCCTGGTTTGTTTTTCCTCCAGAAATTAAATCCTTTTAGTGAAGTGATAATTGAGAAATGCTCATTAAATGTTCAATATAAAGTCCATCCATATAAGTCAATTAATCAAACTTGGCCTAATTCGTTTAATCCAATGAGTTAGCTTGTATGGATAAACTTGGCCTATTTTGTATATGTTGATGCATACGTCTATTACATATGTTATTAGTTTTTCATATACAATGTGCAGTCATTACAATGTATAGTATTGATATAGTTGAGAGTATTATGAATTTTGTTTATGATTCATATCCTGAACTTTTAAAACTCATATAGATATGACAAGGTATAATACTTATACAGTTAGGTGTATTATGAATGATATTTATGATTCGAATTCTGAACAAACCAAAATACAGAAAAAATTTGATGGTGGGGCAGAGACTCAAACAGTTCCCATATGGATACTGTTTTTCATAGGATGAACAAAAAGTAGGTAGCGGAAAAATACTAGAAAAGCTCTCAAATTTAATCTACAACATCCTTCAACTTTGTGTTTAACAAAAGCATATAATTCAGACATCTTGAGGTGAGTTGTCAGTGTGGTCGAGGCGGGTAAATATCAAAGGGGTTCAAACCTAAAATTCAAGGAGGTTTAATCAGCCAATTAATTAGTGTTGCTGGATAGCAAAAGTAGTAAGAAAAAAACAATGAAGAAATGAAAATGTACCTGGTGGGTATTGTGGCAGAGGGTAGCCTAGAGGTGGGGTAGTGGTTGAATTATAGGCACAAGCAGGGGCAGCCGGTGAAGGAGATCCATACGGTAGGAATTGGGACCATTGAGCGGCGGGTCCTGTGCCATTTGGTTGTTGTGCCACAGCTGAATTGGGAGGATAGGAAGCATTTGGGCCAACAAAAGATGCAGGCCTCGGCGGCGGACGGGCGTCATACGGTAGGAGTTGGTACAATATCGGAGCTTGGGGTGTACCTACAGGAGCCGTAGAATCCAACGTTGGCGCTTCGTAGATTGAACCTTGGCCTTGAAACTGCGGCAAATCAAGATAAAAAGAAATAACTATTTGCGCTTGTGGTTTGTGAATAAAGAGATACAAGATATAGAGATTACCCTAGAACTGGGGGGAAATTGCAATGTGAGTCGTATAGAGCCTGCGGGCCTTCCATCTGTACCGTGTAGAGTCCAGGTCGAGTCAACATAGCCGTTGAAAAGTACTTGTTGTAGCTCAACTCTAAGGACGATAAGAGGAAAGTTTGTGACACTCATGGTTAGGGGTAATTGAAAATCAAGTGATGGCTAGCTCATCTCTGAATTAAGGTCAAGTCTTACCTTAGGACGCCGAGAGCTTCTACGTTTCCCGAGGACCGATTGGTTAAGACCCAAATGTTCAATTCTACAACTCCTTCAATGAATTCGAAAACAAATTTCTCTTCAAAAATTGGGTGTGAGCCTCCACCTAACCATTCGATTCACACCGTAAGAATCCAATCCCAAATCCGAACTTAGATGAAACAAGAAAAGCATATATATACCAAAGCATGGTCTAGTCCTCTTCGTCGAACCACCATACATAAGGATGCATGTGTATTCAGTCGCAAAAGGTCCTCTGTCCTCCAAGTTGTAGCATCGATCAACTGTACCACCATTGAAAAAGGAAGAAAAAGACATCAAAATGAAATCAAGCAAAGGATGAAGATGAAGATGAAGATGAAGCAAGCCCTGCTATTAATTCCTCTAAATTAGCTTGCCTGTGACCTCAAGTAGCCGTCTTGTTGGCCCTTGCGCTCCTCCCCCGAATGCCATGATCTTTTAACAAATCCTTAATCAAAACTGTGTGTGCAGTTTTGTAAATAGTCTATGGAAATGGGAAGTGTGAAGGAGGTTGGAAGGAAACGAAAAAAGTCAACAATATTTGAAGCTAATTAATTAAATAATCCAAATTTGGAAAGTCAACTCTTGTGAGAAGGATTAGTCTCTAGCTGTATTATGACTTAATTAACTCGTTCATTTTTGCTGATTGTTTAATATTGGAGGTGTCAGCGCTGACTCGGAAATTCCCCCCTGACGTGGCTGCCAATTGTTTTTATCACCATCTCACCAATCATTGCTTTGCTACTTTGAGCACCTATGGTTATTATTATTATTATATAAATAGTCTTTACTACTATTAAATTTGGAATAAAATAGTAAAAATACTGCTGACTAAATAATTGTGTAGCTTATACATATAATAAAACTAAATAATAATCCTTTGAAATTTTCTTTATATTAATCCACGTCATCGGAAGATATTCACTCCCTTTCCATTGAGTTTGAAAATGGGCTTGAGTTTGGGCCTGGTCCTGGGCCTGGGCTCCAAAACACCATTCCCTCCCGTTTGAGGTATATTAAGGGGATTGGGCTGTATTACCCAAATAAAATACTCATTTTGAAAAACATTAAGAAAAAGAAAAAAAAAAAAACGAGAGGGAATGTTTTACACCACTTTTCTGTAATTCTAGTTTTTAGGAACTGAAACCATCCGCCAAGCTTCGAGCCTCGGCCGCATTCCTTTGTGAAAGATGTGATAAAAGGGCGTGGAGTTGTCGTCTGCGGCTGGGATTAGCCAAACATGCACGGAAGGTGTTTGTTATAATGTCAAATCCAAGAGGCGGAGAAATGGTGGCAGAGGGCCAAGCCACGGGCCTGGACTATTATGATTGATGAAATGTAGACTGCTTTCTTTGCCCAAATTATGGTAGCTATCAACGTAAATTTAGCTGCTTTAGTAATGGGGGGCATCTTCCCAACATTGTGTTTCTTTCGCCAGAACCAGTAGCCCCATCCAATGCCCTATTATGCGCGCTTTGAAAGTGATAATAATGGTGCAATAAGACCTTATCCTTTATTATATAGGGTACTGTTAGCTTGGCATTAATGTGGCTGCTTTCAGGTTCAACGATTGCCAATGTGATAGACCTTCAGGATGGCAATTTATTGCTGCTATGATATTGGGTGGGTAAAATTGTATTTGTTTACTCGTAGTGAATGGACAAAAGATATGACATCTTGGAGACCCATTCTATTGAGATTTGTTACTTATTTCAGCTATCTTCGTTTATACAGTGCAGGATGAGGATAGGGTGTCTGCAAAATGGTGGAGGGGTCATACTGTGAAAGTGCATGGTGCTCCTTCTCCCTCATAAATTCGTGGTGGACCAGTATTTTCTCATCTCTTTGTGTCTTTCTTTGTTGTTTACTGTGCTAGATTTGTTAACTTTTAGCATGCTTAATTGGGCATTTGATTACTTGCTACCAAATAATGCTGGGATAGATGAGGTGTATGATTGGATATAGAGTCCCTTTGAGCTTAATTGGCCATAGACATATTGATTGACTAACATATTTGCTCGAAAAGTTATCATTTCCCATTCATCTATTTCTATTCTGGGAAAGCAGGGCACTTCACTCAATACTCATAGCATTACTAGACGCAGTCAACTTAGAATAGATGAAAGAACAATAATTGTTGCAGGGCTAAGGTTGCGGATGGATAGATATTATGCCAGCTAAGCGATGTTGACAAGAGAAGAAGATTTACCTTTCGAATAGAATCCATCCAGAATAATTACTTTTTGAAAAATCATAACTTCCTTCAATAATAGTTTTCTAACCCCAATACTTTAGGAAAAGTTCTCTCAGACTTTATGATATATCTGTATGTCCCCTTCAAGATCTACCGAGTGTTCATGGAAATTTATCAAATATTTAAGAACTTCATCCGTTCTTGCAGAAAATTTAGCAGGCAGGTTTCAGCAAAGCAATTGATACCATGGATTGTTTCTGTCCATGTAAATGAAGCATGAGACTGGAGAGCGTGAGAAGACCAGAGCTGTCTTGTGTCTTGTATGGTGGGCCGACATAAGGACGAAGTTTGGTGCAATTTGAATCCGATGGAGCTTTCTTGCGGACCACATCACCTACAATAGACAATTTTTTATGCAGACATTTGCCGGTAATGAGTGTTAAATGATGTATTTTTTGGGAAACAGAACCTTGGATTATATACATTCCTTAACATGCATGTTTGGTTTTCCTGCCCCTTAAATTATATCAGGAATTAAGTTGCATTGGAAAGTTCCTCCAACGTTTATTGATGTGCCAAATATGTATTGGAGAAAAATGGAAGTCGTGAGTTGATAATGAATTCTTTTACAGCTACCAAATTTTGATGAGATTAAGTAGAGTTCACAGTTTTCCCATATGAATAGTTGTAAGAGGATCACAAATTTTTTTAATTTTAATATTATTATTTTGTGGCAAAATCACTACCACAACATAAATAATATGTATAGCCAGGACTAGGAGGAGGTTGAAGCGTGTTTCCCACACTAAATGCCAGCGAGTAGGTGTGTTAAATACCATGATTGCTTTTTCCATTTAATTGTGAAGAGAAAGACGAGTACAGAACCAGTCGGTTTTCTTTCAGTGAAATGGAAAGTGGCCTTCCCATGCTTAACTGTCTGTTACAACACACTTTAAGGAGTGTATGTTTGTCATCAGAATCTTGTAGCTCTACCTCTTCCAAGTGGGTTTACGCCATTTTCTGGAGGATCGTCCCTAGAAACTTTCCTCCACCCAAGTAAGGGAACTAAAAACTCAAGTGGCCATGGAAGTGATGAGTGATGGATGAGTAGTATTCTGATTCATAAGATATTTTCCCCACATCTTTTGCTTTGTTGCAGGTGGGAGTTCGGTGGGAGTGCTCTTGATCGCTCTAAAGGAAACAAGAGGAACTGGTATGTATAGACAAATATGATAATTTTGTTAGGAATCTTGACTGCTTATGAAGTTTATGAGTTTTATTTATCTCAGGATTCTTGTTTGGGAAGATGGATTTTGTGATTTCCATGAATGTGAAAAAGCAGCAAGTGGATGTAGTGCAGGGAGGTTTGGACTTGATCTCTTCTTCAAAATGTCTCATGAGGTTTACAGTTATGGAGAAGGGTGAGAGAACTCAAACCTTTATGTAAAATATGAACAGTTCTAAAGTATCGTTAGGAACCTCTTGGATACATTCATCAGAGAATCTGTATGTCCTTGGTCACATTACAGGTTAGTGGGAAAAGTTGGAGCAGATAATAGTCATAAATGGGTTTTCAGAGATAACGCAACTGAAAGTGATCCGAACCTCACCTCCTCGTGGAACTCATCCATTGAGCCTGTATGCGAACTTTTTCCTTTTTGAGGGAAAGAATGTCAGTTAAATTCTATGAATAACATTCTTGACGTTTCCACTTTATTCATCTGCAGCAACCTCGAGCATGGGAATCTCAATTTAAATCAGGCATTCAGGTACTATTCTACAAACTTAACTTGCCATTAGCAAAACACGGCAGTGTAAACGATCACTTCCAGCTTATCAGATACTTCTTTTTGTAGACAATTGCGGTCTTTGCTGTACGAGAAGGCGTAGTTCAACTGGGCTCTTTTGATAAGGTTTCGCCTTACCTTTTCTTCTTTTAGGTCGCTTTTTGGCAAGTTACACAGATTGATGGTTTCTTTTGCAGGTCCAGGAAGATCTCAATTTAGTCATTAATGTACAGAGGAAATTCAGCTACCTGCATAGCATGCCAGGTATTTTTGCGGTTCAAAGGCCCTACCTTCCTAGCCAACATCCATACGTTTTAAAGCCAGATGTCCAGATGATCGAAAACCAATCAACTGGGTTGAAGCGATTGTTCAGCTCCATGCTTGATGAATCTTCTATCAAATCCATCAACTTAGGCTGGAACACCCCACAACATCCCTCGGCTACTGGATCGCCAGTGTGGCCAATCCCACCTCTTCTTCCTTCCACTTCATGCAGTCTTAGAACTTTTAAATCAAAGTTGCCTTCTAATAGTACCCCACGTTGTGAAGCCAATGAATGTCTCGATTCAGTTCAACTCATGTCCATTAACCACCCAAACCCGAATACAATGAAGGCCACCAATTCAGAAGTGAAGATAGAAACCTCCAGCCAGTTAGATGCAGCCCAAGAAACAGAAGAGAAACCAAGTTGGAAAAACCCTGGTCGTCTGGGGTTTGAGGATGGGATGGTGACAGAATTGGGATTCAGACTTGGAGAGACAAGTCAAAATGGTCTAAGCCTCAATTAATCAAGGAAAAGTATCCTTGCAACACATTATTGTCACAGAAAGGATGAATTTGGTACTTGCATGGATTTGGATGGTTGGTTAGTAGGCACCGAAATTGTATAATCACTTTTTTGAGTTATCTGTTAACAAAAATATCTAGCCACTTAAGTAGCTTAATTAGAAAACAAAGATGCCTTCATCTTTGATATCTGTCTTTCATGTTATTATTAGCATGGTCAGTGGTGGGAAATGAAATGGCTTTCAGCCGTAGTACTTGAAATTGAAAGCAGAACGGATTAGATTGTGGCATTGGCTGCTCTGCATTATCTGCACTGTTAAGTGTTGTTATTTGAGGATCAAAGGGTGAATGTATGTGATAGTGATGATAAAGGGATCCATCCATTCATTGAGGGCAGAGTGGGGTTCCACTCCGATGGCCTATCCCAATCCTTCTGCAGGTAGTAGTAGTAGTGCACCATAGGCAATGGTCCCCTGGAAACAAATTGGAAGAGAGAGGCATGACAAGAGAGTGTTAGAATTTGGGTCAAGTTGTCTTTCCCATATGAATACCCATCACCCGACACAATGGATGGTCCCAGCCATTTAGCTTTTTAGTTTCTTTCTGTTCTTCTTTTTCATCTTTATGGAGCTATGATATGAATACGAGTTGCTGCTTGTGGGGTCGCTTCCTATTTAATTAAAAGCTGATGATATGTACCATTATCTTGGCTAAGATCTTTGGAAA